GACCCAGGTGCAGGACCTTGCACTTGGCCTTGTTAAACCTCATGAGGTTCACACAGGCCCACTTCTCAAGCTTGTCCAGGTCCCTCTGGATGGCATCCCGTCCCTCTGGCATGTCAACTGCACCACTCAGCTTGGTGTCATCTGCAAACTTGCTGAGGGTGCACTCGATCCCACTGTCTATGGCATTGATGAAGATATTAAACAGTACTGGTCCCAATACGGACCCCTGCGGGATGCCACTTGTAACCAGTCTCCATCCGGACATTGAGCCGTTGACCACAACCCTCTGGATGTGACCATCTAACCAATTCATCACCCACCAGACAGTCCACCCATCAAATCCATATCTCTCCAGTTTAGAGAGAAGGATGTTGTGGGGGACCGTGTCAAAGGCCTTACAGAGGTCCAGACAGACAACATCTGTAGCCCTTCCCGTGTCCACTGATGTAGTACTGATATGTATGTATGTATGATGTACTGATATTCCCTCCCACCAACCATCCCCATGCCAGCATGGACATGGAACAAATACAAACCCTAACTCAGTGAGACAGATGAGAGAAAAATGTTGAATGTCTTTGTGCTGTTAGAGTGACAATACAGCTGAGATGGTGAGCACCAGAGGAGAGAGTCTGTGATAAGACACATCCTCATCAGTCAGTGTTATGTATCACTTTAACTTTTAGGTTTTCCCCCTCCAAAATTTGGTAATATGAAATACATTATGGGGCCTTGGTGACTGAATGCTCAGCTAAGACAGTAGGACTATCCGGGTCTATAATTCACAGATGAAAAAGAAATAAGACAGGAAAAAAAAAGCCAATTCATGGCATTCTGTTTTCTGAGCAAACAGGTATAGCAAGTGGGTTTGATACTACCCATGCTCTCACATTGTTTCATCTAAACTTTTCTCAATGCGTTACATGGGGCACTGAATACTTCAGTGCTGGTTAAGCAACAATATGTGAACAGTTACATATAACAGAAGCATAACACATTCCCGTTACACAGCATGGTCCAGTCCCTATGGCGCTCCCCATACCTCATGGTCTTGGAGGTCTCGCTCTAAATGAAGTGCTTTTTTCAGAGCAGAAGCCACAAACTTCCTTCGTTTCTGTAGGAAGTTTTTCTCCTCCATACATAGATCAAACTCCAAGCGAACATCTAAGTTTCTTGACCTCAAACAAAGTCCAGGGTTAAACAGGATGTAAAAAGCCTATGTACATGATCACTTACAATTAATGCCTGGACCCATGCTTACAAGTCGTAAACTCTACTATTAGGCTTAGAAAAGCTGCTACCACGGCCCCACAAATGCACGTCACAAACTGTATAGACAAAGCAGAGAAAAGGCTGAGAAAGTTAAAAGGTTGTAAAATCTTACAGAAAAAAAAATAGAAATAATGTTTATTGCTACACTGATTTTCACAAAGTGTTTAACATAAATACTGCAATCTATATACAGATACTATAAACAGTGGAATATTTAGGATTTGTTGCCTGAAGACCTCCAGGTTTTATAAATACAAATACTCCAGATTCTTTACAAATAAGGAAAGTGAGGTATAAACACATATTTTTCTAAACTTGTAGCTCCCTGGATTTTGCAGCCAGAAAAGATTATTGACTCCATCCAACCTGCATGCCTGCATAGTAGCATAATAGGAAATTTCACCCAGCACAGTTAACAATGTTCACCTTCTGGACATGGGTAACTAATATGGGGTAAATAGGGGTAAATGTAATCATTGACTAAATACTTTCTCCCTTAGTTACAGAAAGAGGTAAGAAGGCAAAAAAAGCTGGGTAGTATTTTTTTTCCACAACCACAAAATCCAAAGACAGAATTTCTTACCAGTCATTTGACTTCACATGTAAATTGATTGTTTCATCCTAGGAAAAAAGCCACAATATAAGCACTGGAGATGATTTTATGTCCTTTCCTTTCAGTCAGCTTTGAAGCCCTTCACTTGTTATGAGAGCTGTGTTAGAGCCACAAAGCCATAACAATAAGAAAATCCATCCAATTTTTAAAGCTTCTCCAAGTCCCCTTTATTTTCTTTAAATTGTTTAATAAAACAATTATTAAATAATTATTAAATAAAACTAAAGATACTCAGAGCAGTGTACAGTAAAAACCAGCAATTTTTAAAGCTTCTCCAAGTCCCCTTTATTTTCTTTAAATTGTTTTATTCTAAAGATACTCAGAGCAGTGTACAGAAAAAACCAGCACCATCTCTGCCAGTGTGCCCCATCTTGCCTCATCATTTGCATTTGCTCTGACCTGCATTAGTCCTCCAGCTGGTCACACAAATCCCTCTCTCAAACGTTTGGCTGCAGTTTTTGGTTCTACTCGGTTCATATGAAAATGCATGGGTCCATAACCCCCTCTGTTAGGAATGTAAGGGCACTAGCAGTTATATATCTAAACCCCTACTTCACAGTGATCTAGTTAACTCATGCCCATTGATCTTTGGCCCATAGCTTCACATTTATTCTAGAAAGTTGGTATCAATCACCTTTGCTACTGCTACTTTCTCCTTGAAGGGAAGTGAATCCAGAGGAATAGTGAGGGATGCATGGCAGTCTTTTCTCTCTTCACCTGAGGTACACTGGAAAATAAATTATAATGTAGAAAAACATTTAATGTATACATCACAAAAAAGTACTGTCACCAACTTTTTTTTTCAAATGGGGTCACCGTCCAGCAGTTTCCAAGCTGGCATCTGATATTTAGGCATCTTAGGGTGTACAGTGCTCTTCCAGAGCAGAAGATCACAAAAGATGGCTTTTAATTAAAAATACAAATTCTTTTTGTTTGCCTCAGTCAAGTACAGAAAACCACGGGTTTTACTGTGCTTACTCAAGCTCACAATCACATACCGAGCAGAAATGAGGCTTCTCTGCTAGAGCCATGCGCAGCTCTGACAGGCTGTACTTGATGTAATGGAAATCCAGGGACTCCTCCAGTCGCTGGGTAGAGCCCAACGACAGGGTCTGGCTCTCTTCGTAGGATCCCTTCACTGAAAATAAGAAGTCTTTTTCTAAAAAAAAAGATGAAATGCATACAGAGAAGTTAATTATTATGATCTCAGAAATAGAACATTAAATGATCATTGAGAAGTTGCCATTTTAATATACAAAACATTCAACAATGCTTAAAAGCTCCCAGAGTCCAAACAGGGACTCTGTTAATAAATATCCAAACAGGGTATTTATCCAAACAGGAAACATTATAGGAAGGGGAAAAAAAAAAAAAAAGAGCTTATAAAACAGCAGTAGCTGTTTTAAAAACTCAGACATACAGGCAAATTGGGCAAAATGTAAATTATTGACATAGAAATATATATTTACTTCTATTTTACAGCACTAATAAGATTCATTATCACTCTAACCATTCACTCTAATTTCAAAGTCCAGTTTTTACAGTTAGTTAGCATAGACACACTATAATTGTTGGATCTATGATCCCGTATATACTCCTAACCATCCAGTTCCTGTGCTCTAACTGTAAGAACAAAGTAGGGAAACTACCACATAAGAAAATGACAAAAAATTTAGAAATTTTCAGTTTACCGTAAAATAAGATTTTTTGTTTCTAGTTTAAAGTCTAACCTGAAGGTTCTTTCTTTGTCCGTCTATTGTCCACCAGGACTTCCAAGCAGGAAATTTCACGAGACTGTAGCAGGGATGAACGATGAGAGGATTAAGTATACAAAGCATGCCGTATCTGAGTCACTTCCCTGCTACCTATCTCTGGTCACCTGGGTCCCTGGGGTCTGGAAAACTGTCCACCCTGTGTTTGTTAGGCTGATAAGAGAAAGACCTTGGCACTCTGAAGATGTGCCATGTTTCAGTTGAAAGAAAAATGGCTGTGGTGCTGTGGTCCATCCAGGGGGACGGGTCTGGGAAGGGAGGGGAAATAACAGGGGAGGGAATGGGAGTGTGCTGAGGCCTCTCAAGGGTAGACTGATGGGTCGGCCAAATCACAGGGCTGTCCTTGCAGCCCTGCTTTGGTGAAGTTGGACAGCCAAGTGCTACCTCCTCTAAATAGTGAGTTAGGGACAGTCGAGAAAGCCATTTCCATATCATCCTATGGAGGTGGGGAAAACAGGATGGCCATGAGGGGGTCCCCAAGAGAAGTCCCCAGAGGGAATGACACAGAGGCAGTAAGTCAATGAAAGAGCACTTCAGGATTTGTCAAGAGGCTTACTATCAGCTGCTGGTGGTGGACAGGTCTCTGGGTATCCCCAGTGACTGTGTTCA